TGTGGCTCACAGGAGCAGTGCTATTTTCAACACTATCAACTATTAGAATCCCATAGAGGCTTTCAGTTGTTACTAAATGATCACTGCCGTTCTTTACTTGTGTACCTATAGCTGACTACATGTTGTCCTTTGTGCTACCTGTGAATGTGTGCTTCAAATCATTGTTATGAGATTAATTGTATAAAACAGTGAAATATGTCAGTTTTTTTGGCTTGAATTTGAATAATTCCTCAGAATTAAAAGTTTTAGATGCAATAGTTCCTCGGATAACCATTTCCCCACTAACAAAGAGCTGCAAATCGTTCCCGTCATCTCCTCTTAATGTTGCTCAAGGCACATCCCTGCCGGTCTTCGAGGAATGTTGTTATCTCTTTGAGGTTTTCATTTCTCAGAACTCGTTGATACTACAAAGCTGTGAAGCTGTTGAACTTGAATTTTCTTTAATTATTGCGTTACATAACCGGAACCACTGGCTCTCCAAACACGTTGTATCCTTCATGGTTAAACCCCAAACTGGGCCATTTCCCATCAATGGGGAGTGACGAGGACAAGAGTCCAGGGTCCGGACCATTTGGAGGGCTGACGCAGAGTGTGATGTTCTCGGCGAGGGGTCGCGACAGCAGGTGCCACGACCCAGTGACGCCCCTCCAGGGAATAGATGATGGGGGCCGGGAGGCGTGACGGGGGCACCAGCAGGCCTGCTGCTGCTGACGCTGTCTGCGGCGCGAGGGGCCAGAGGTCTTTCTGGGTGACGTGACCGCAGGCAGCGGCCCGCTGACGAGGGTCCTCCGTCACTGGCTCAGGAACCGGCGGGGCTCAATTTGTGCCACTTAGAGAGGACATGTCATTCACACCACAGTGTGTGTGTACGTGTGTGTGTGTGTGTGTGTTTGTGGGTGTGCGCCTCCGTTAAGGGAGTGTTGACGGGCACATTTGTTGCGCCTGCTGTGGATCTCGTCTGATTTCATGCTCTCTAAACAGGAAATAGACACTGTCGTGTTCTAATGACTGCACAAATGTTACAAGTTAAACCTTCTGTTGAAACCGATAAGTTTTATCATAACTTGAGGAACAATCTCATATCCGGTCTCAAGAATTACTGTAAATGTATCCAAAAATGTCTACAGTAATAGCAGCAGGGTTCTTTCAGTTAATACTTGGGGACACGTCCTCTGGGGGCTGTGAAACATTTCATGGCACTTCATCCCATAGCTGTGAGAAAGCGCCGTAGTGTAAAAGCCGCATGACCAGCAAAGTCAATAAGCTTTGTCCTGTGGGGTGCAATGAATGTCGGTACAGAACATCATCTGGATCGATCCACTATTGGTTGAGATATTTATATTTGGAAGCAGACCAATATCGCCACAGGTCAAAAACGTGGCTTAAATGTTTATATACTAACCGCCTTTATTGTTCTGATCTGGGTGAAATGTCTGTGAGTTAGAGTGACTCACTCTCCACGCGCTACTTAGGGGATGAATCCCAGAGGATGTGTTTACATTGCGGCTCATGTCGTACAGTCGACGGTTCAAACTAGGTTGTGTGTTCTTGCACGTAGCCAGTGTTTGAACAGCGGCTGTACGTGCTCGTAGAGCGGTCAGCAAGCACCACGGGTCAGACTCGCTGCTTATCCGCGATGTGTGAACTGAGGAGAGGAAGGGCTGAAAAAGACTAGGATGGAAAATGTAAAAGAAGAGATAAAGGCGCTGCAGGCGTGTTGAAGTTGGGTGGCGACTGGACGTGGTGTTTTCCACAGACTCAGAGGCCCGAGGCCAAAGGTCATGGGATCATTTGATCAAACTGGAGTTTACAGTGCAGGTATTTTTTCTATTTTGTGTACAGGTGTTTGCTCCCAAAGAACAATAATGACCCATCATATAACAGTTATGAGCTTTCCTTCTTTGTGCTAAACAAAGCTGACCAGGTATCAATCTTCTCCAGTAGAACTTAAGTACCGTACATGATTTTGATTTATTTATACTGAGAGATAAAAGCTCTTATTAACATTATGGTGCACGTTGATTATATAAAACCGCACCTTGGCGGTAAATCAATGGACTCTCACAAAGAAAAAAAGAGCTGATTAATTTAATGAAATTAAGATCTTAATTATTCTTTATTATAAGCGGGTGGATTCACAGAACTGAATTGAATAACTTAACAATCAACTATTATTTGTGTTATTTGAGTTTCCATACATATACAAAACACACAGTTTCAGCAGTTCGGTTGAATCATTTTCTTGTCTGTGTTTAGTACAATTTCAATTATATTTCATCTGACCCTTTTTTTCTTTGAAAGACATGACCAGCACTTCACCAATGTACCGCTGAGCCTCTTATAATTCCCATATTAGTATCATAAAGAAAATCCTGCCTGCTTTGAGTATCCAGACACACGCACTGAGTTGTGCTTGTAAGAAGAAATAACGCCAGTCAGACGGAAGGCAGCGTGGCCCGTTTAGATTCCACTGAACTCAGTGTTTTCACCAGCATTGAAATATTCAGTACAGCGTGTCAGTGCTGTCACCTTCTGGTTGTTTGACACACTACACATTATGATAAGCACACGAGAACCAGGAACAAGTGACCAGGGCGTGTCTGCATTTCTTATCATTTTTATCACATTAAATAAGCTAAAAGTATATGTAATAAATGACATTGGTGATTGAGCGCTGCAGGTAGCCATGCGCTGCCTCGTGGTGAGAAGACCAAATGTCCACTCCTTCGTGGTGATGAGGTCAAGGGGGTCGACGGGTTTCACGGCGACGTAACACCGTCTCCCTGTCACCACTTTACCCATCGGCTCTTTCTGGGGAGAGCCGATGCCATACGTTAAATTGCAGACAAAGAAAAAACATAAACTACAGCATATTACCTAGCATATCACCTTTTGGGGGAGAGATACATGAGTAGACAAACACGTCTATTCATTAACTTTGAATGTATGGAACTACTGCGTGTGATGCTTGCAGAGAACCTTGCTGACTGAAGTTTGGACCTTCACATCCAGCACAGAGAACAAAATGGTTCCCAGACACTGCGGAAACACACACACACAAAATATTGGGATGAATACCAAAAGATGATGTGCCGGACACACGTTAGAAACTGTGTCTGCCTCGTGTCCTTCAGCAAAGCATCTTCTGCTGCTGATATACATCATCTTGGGTCCACACAACTCTGCAAGTGCACCGACACACCTGCTAACAGGGTTTGGGGTGGCTACAATTAATCTGGAGTGAACTGGAGATTAATTCCCGTCACGTGAAAGCTTTTTCTGAGGAGGCCTGAACTGAGGACTCAGAAACCTGGACTGCCGTTCCAACCGAGCAGCTGAAGATCAGTCGCACTGCAACTTTGCAGTTGCAGTGCGACATCTAGTGGCAACCAATTGAAACTACATGAAAACAAACTAGATCATTATGTATCCAATATGTCCCTTAAATGTAACACCAAACCTGATAGTTTGCAGCCAACCAACTGCAGACCAACACGTCTCAACTTTCCAGGAGAACAATAATGCTGTTTTCTGAAATGAGAAAACCAAAAGGTGTCCCTCTAGTCGTGTTCATTTTGACAGGCGTGCAGACTAAACCCAATTGCTTAATTACTGCGGGAAAGGTAGTGAAGCCTTCTTCAGACCCGGAAGAGTTGATACTTCCGCAAAAGTGACAAAAAGAGTGAAATGCAGAAAAGTGACAACTACTTTTCTAATTCATGTCAACTATTACAAAACAAAACTGTTAATCAATGAACAGGCTTAAAGTTTTGGCGCCACCCGACTCTTGGATCCCTGCTCAGTTAAAAGTGTGGTTATCCTGATCATACTTTTTAATACCAATCCTTAGTCTTTTAATAGAGAACCTGAAACACCATCCAAACACGTACATTCAAAGCTGCAGAAAAGGACTCGCACATCTGGCATATTTAGGTTAAGGGATTGTGACCATAGAGGCTGCAAGATGCCGCCACATCTCATTTACTTAGGTAATTATTACGTTTGCGCTTCCTAAATGTGTAATTTTTCCCAAATTACAAGGCTGGGTCCCCCTCATCTACTACAGTAATGAACAAATATGTCTAAATAATTGAATGTACAAACATGGAAAATTATCTCATACTTTTTACTCCCTGATGTGATTTTGTCAAAACAGCTCACCGCTAAACAAGCAGTGGAAGAGTCGCTGCTTGCAGGCTTTCACCAGTAACGCAATGAATTATGGGTAACTGCCTTGGTCAAAATCTGTAGAAATGACTAATGGAAAGTTTTCACAAAGGACTCTAAATGTCTGCAAAAGAGCCACTAAAATTGACAGTCCCACAGATATCTCAATATAATAATGATCAACTCATTAAGTTTTCCTGCTTGCGTTTAGTTACAAAGGGGAGGCTCAGGCAGGCGCGCACACAGACACACACACACACACGCACGGTAGCAGGTGTTGTTGCCGTTGCTCATATCTGACTTATTGCTCATAGTGTTATTTTACAGCTAAATAAGCTCCATTCCATTGAGTAAGAATGACTCTCTGCCATGTGGTTGATATTATTTTAGAGCAATATGAATGTTTTTTCACTGGCACTGACTGGTTTGTTTATCAGGGTATTTTTTTAATCACACGTCATAATTACCTAATCTGTCATACAACTGTATGAAAAACTCAAATGTTAATGTAGAATAAACTCGTCTAGGAATGTCAGTCTGTGGCTGTAGAGACGTGCTTGTTCAGTGTAACAATATGTTTGTTCTTATTTAAGGTTTTCATGTTTCAAACATATTCTTGTGATGTGTTTAAAATAAATATCCAGGACACTCTGCATGAAGTTCAACTCCCAGAATGCTTTGTGTTGTAAGAAAAAACACATGGCCTATTGAATAAGTCTTAAGAAACTAAATAATGTATCATCATTGCGGTTTTCCTATCGGGCATGGCCAGCATATAAGAAAATGATTTTTGTAGTTTAGTATTATCAGGTACGATACATGAATCAGTCACGTTAAGTAAAAATGTGAAATTTAATGAGGTGAAAGTCATTTTCAGAAATCAAGAAAAAACGGTTCATCAATGCTGTCACAGCTTCAAAATCAGGTACCTTCCAATTATACCTACAATAGATCTGAAAGGGTACAAACATTTAAAAAAAAAAAAAAAAGAGAAGAAGAAAGACTAGGGAGGGATACGGGGAGGGAAAATACAAGTAGTCATGGCTTGTGGTTCAGAATCGTCCAGAACGCTCTCTGTCTCTGGAGCGGCGTCTCTCGTGGTCACGGCCGCCTCCGCCTCTGTCCCCGCCTCCGCCCCTGTCCCTGTCACCGCCTCTGTCTCTTTCACCACCTCCTACTCGGTCCCCGCCTCCGCCTCCCCGACCCCTGTCCCTGGATCGGGAGCGCCTCTCTCTCGAGCGAGACCTGTGGCGGCTGTGGAAATAAAGGAGGCGCGATTGTGATTTCTCGGTTAGATTTACTGAAGTGCGTGAACGCAAAAAATGTTTTGGTGAAGTGTTCGTACCCCTTCCTCCGGCGTCCGTAGAGCTCTCTCCTCAGTTCACGCGAGATGGGCTTCAGATGCATGAAGTTACAGAAGCCCCCGCGAGTGCATTCTCTGTGGAGAGAAGGCGACGGCCATCAGTTACAGCGGAGAGGACTCTGCAAAAGCTTTGGGTCAGAACCTACAAACCACCGAGATGTGTTTGACCCACTGCTCAACGGAGGACAATAGACAAGCTGTATAAACTCACAAGACTTGAAGCGCAATGCTCTGAGTGGCATAATGGATCACTGTAGATTAAATACTGTTGTTTGAAGGACATCTTTTATATCCTTATAATTTGAATATGAAGAAAACTACAATTTAACATGATTATTACAGTTACAGTTATTATTAGTCATAATTATCACCAAACTGCAATATTATGGTATTGTGTAATCATCATTATCATGGTGGTATCGTGTCGTGGCCTCTGGCGAGTCACACCGGTGTAGAATGACACTTCTTAAGAGCCTCGTTTCTTACAATCAGATTCTGTCCTGCAGCACTCACCCCATTTCATACTGGCGACAGCAGGCTTCTCTGAAGTCTGTGACGGGGGAGAGCTCAGCATGGATGGGCTGTCCATTAAACCACCGATTATTCAGGTCTATCACGGCCTTCTCAGCATCCTCTTCGTAACGGAACTGTGTATATTTATAAAACATATTTTAGATGAGCTCCCCAGCCCTGGATCAAAGCCAAAAGACAAGTGGCCGCATGGTGTTTAGACTGAGACACCCACCTTCACATACACGTTTCCTACTAGGTGGTCCCCGAGGTTGTCACATACGTTCATCTCCTCCACCTCTCCATACTTCTCCTCCATCTCAGTGAAGACTTCCTGAAAGTGAAGTGCCGCATAACGTGACTCATTTGCAATTGATGTAACGTTGAGCAACAGTCAAATAAAGGAGTAGTTGGACATTTGGGGAAAGCGCTTGCTTTCTGTTACGAGTGTTCCATGAGAAGATCTATGGCAGCACCCAACATATCAAACACATTTCCTTTGTTTAATTAATGCAAAAACTGAGGTAAAAAAAACTTTCCCTGTTCTGTACCAGACAAAGAGTTGAATAAAGTGAAGCAGATGTAAAGAGGTGATGTCAGAGAGTGAGGCGGACCTTCCCTACATGGGACTTTCAGAACTTACCTCAAAGAACTCATCATAGTGCTCCTGCATCTCCATGTCACTGATGGCACCTAGTTGTTGAAAGAGAACATGATGTGGTTTCTTTTTATTCAATGAAACGGATTATTTTGATGTGAATTTTTTCAAGCAACGTTGTGCTTTTATTTTAACTGGTCACTAACTTTAATCTGTGTTTATGAAACAGAAAATACAGGAGTTAAAAGCCTGTATTTGATTCCTTTTTACATCATATCAATACTCAGACGTATAGAGACACTCACAGGTGAGGCCATCAGCAGACTGGGCACTGTTCTGAGGGTTCCGGTAAATGTTCAGGAGGGCAATTGTCTGGGGGGAAAAAAAGGCAAATTATTGGGATGATTTCATTAGATTTGAAAAATACATATAGACATACATTTCCCTTTTTGAACTAAATCACTCAATATATCAAATATACGTGTCAAACAGCAATAATACTACATTGATTTTAAAGCACAAAAGAAGGATTTCATGTACAACAAGAACTTTAAAAAAATCCATGTAATTTTTTTTTCCAATCCTATGTTGACCAAATACACAAAAGTAACTGGAAATGGAGCAGTTTCTGTGCTTTGTTTTGGTAAACTTAGGCCCTGCATCTTCTGAAAGGGCCAAGCGCTTGGCCTGTGGCGTTGGAGCTTGCAGCGGCTCTTCCTCAGGTCCTGGAGCCGCGCGGCTGACCAGAGTGCTTTGCTCTTGTTTATTAATGTTAAATGTGTCGATAGTCTAGAATGGCATCAAATGCATTCACAGGCAACGGTAGGAGTTTGGTATCTAACAATATGCACTCCAACTATTGAGCCACTGGCCCACTTTCAGACCTACATCATGCCATCATTTTTACGTGCAATGAGAACAATATTGTTGAGGTATCGTGGGACACCATAGAAGAAAACCAATTTACAATCTTACCTGGCTGAATGTCGGCTTATTGTGTAATCTGGAGCAGCGGTCGCCATGTCGACAAGCTCCAATTTTGAAATAAAAGGAGCAATTGACCCTGGGGAAAAAGTGAGAACACTGTGGATGAGGAAAAGAATTTCTGTAGACTTTGCTTCTATTGTTGCAGGGGTAGTTTTCATTTCGCTGGCACATGGTTTACAATAATAAAAACGATCAAAAAGAAAGTTTCCGATTAAATACATTTCAATCAAATATCCAATTTATCAACTAAGCGTGTCGGGTCTTTTGGTATGACATTTGAGCAACATTCATTTTCAGTGGTATGGATCATTTCAGAGAAACGAAGAGTCAACCTTCTAAGATCATATTAATTAATACATGTTATTTACATTTCCTACGAATGTAGGCCAACATTTTGGGAACAATACTCTCGTTGAAAGACAGAAGAAAATCCATCTTGACCAGCTCAATAGAAAATAAACCAGACACGGATTTTGTTGAGCACCAGTTGGTCTGTTTAATTATTTACAAACAAATTCACTTTATTATATTACAGTGTTCTCGGTTCTTAAAAATAAAATGGTCAATCCAAGTTGATTGCAAAAACTATTATCGGTCACGTTATAACAGCTCCCGAGTTTAAACTGGATGACGTCACAATTCTGGATAGGTGGGAAGAGTTGCTCATGCATTTCAATATATACGTGGTGCGATCTTAGGCCACGGGAATAACTTTTTTTTTTAAATGAACATAGTTCCCCTTTAGTTCGCATAATAGCAGCGTGAGCAGCCCGCTTCGTTAGTGGCAAGCGTTAGCCGTGTATTTCCCACGGAAACAAAAGGTTTCTACGCTTTTCATTCAATGCAAACTACGGTGAGCTAACGCAAGGGCCATCGGTGATTAGCATAGCCGTTTAAATCATATGTAATGTTTAGAGTTATTCATTTTAATTCAGAAGTCACGCTTATTTTTCAGGCCACCCTCGCACCGCTCCGGACCCCGATGAGGAGGCTAACAGTCGCAGCGCGGTATTTTACAAACGCTAGCTAGCGTGCTCTCGCTAGCTTAGCCATTGGTCGCCGGAGCCGGTGTACCGCTCCCTGCTGGAGACGGGGACCCCCGCTGAGAACAGTGCTACTAGTCGGACTGGACCTAAGCAGAACAATATAACAAAAATGCGGAAGAATAAACTAAATAAACCTGGACTACTTACTTATCTTTCTCTGTCCCAAAAATGGACGCCAGGTACTCTGCCATCTTGGCTCGCCTGTGCTCAAGCTGCAGCAACACCGACAAGACATCCGCGTCGTCTCCTTCAGAATAAACGTGCAATCTACAAATATAACGGTTACTGACTAAATCAGAGAGAAAAAACAGCAATCAATTCCAATGTCTCTGCAGTAAATATTATAATTGTGAAGCTCGTCTATTAATTAAATAGCAATTTCACTGTTGTATATGTTTTAAGTTATGTTCATATACATATGTACACACACACACACACACACACACACACACACATATATACTGGGGTATGTTTAGGACATATTTATATCTGTGTTGTATAGATGCTAAAGGTTTATAGCTTCACCTGTTTTATTTTTTTGTTGTCCTCATTTTATTTGTTTATTTGTACATTAGGTGGAGAGCAAAGGAAAAGCCAATCCCATGTATACGTAAGCATACATGTCCAATAAAGCTGTCTGGAAATTGTCGATTCAAATGTGTCGGACGTTAGTGGAATGTTTGTTGTGGTGGCAAATGTTCTTGTTTAACAATTGTATCCCAGTATTATTATTTAGCTTAAATAAAACATACTGTTAAGTAGTATTTTATTTTAGTCCAGCATGCCCACTGTACTGGTCTTATATGTTTAAGGAAAAAACGTACTATTTTCATGCATTCCTGTTCAGACTACTCTCACGGTAAAATAATAAATCGTATATAATTCTATTCGTCTATGAAAAATCATTAAACCTTCGTTGAAATAATTTAACTTTGTTGAAAAAGCTTGCTCGAGTTTTAGTTCTTTATGAGAAGTCGCGGAACGTGAGACATCAAACGTCCTATTCATATGTGCTTTCAAATTAAGTTACACTAATACTTTATTCTGAAGGCAGGACAAAATAACCGGATTTTGTAAATATCATCAACACATGTCACTTCCGTCTTTCGCGTGAATTTCGAAACAAGAGTTGCTTTCATATTGTACCTCCACACGTGCAGCATCCCCGACCTCGAAACCCGTTTGTCAAAGCAGTAAATCACGATTTACAATTTTGTAAAAGTGGAAATAAACAAACTTATTTGAGGAAAATGAATAGTGTAACTTCTGTTAGTGCAGGGGGCTGTTAATAAGGAGGGGCGCCAAAACAAGGTCAGTGTTATATTTATTACCACCAAGAGTTATTGTCTATAAATTAAAAATAAGTGGGTATTATAACTGATTATAGCTTAAAATACACACATGGTGCCAAATTATCTTTATTACTGACCGAAATATTTACACTGTATTGCTGTATTACATTGTTTTAAAAAGTGATCCGCAGGGATGAAGATTTTGTAAAAATAAATTAGTAAATAAAGATTTCTTTGGTCAACGATTGAAGCCACAAACAATACATATTTATTTTCAGCAAGATAGGTTTATTAGAAAAACACCTTTCTGCTTTTAACTTGAGAAAATTCAAACATAAAAACACAACTGTGTGACGAAAAGAGAGCTGAGCCGGAAGGCAAAGCTCTCGATCTACCGGTCAATTTTCGTTCCTACCCTCACCTATGGTCATGAAGGATGGGTCATGACCAAAAGAACTAGGTCACAGGTACAAGCGGCCGAAATGGGTTTCCTCAGGAGAGTGGCTGGCGTCTCCCTTAGGGATAGGGTGAGAAGCTCAGCCATTCGCGAGGAGCTCGGAGTAGAGCCGCTGCTCCTTTGCGTTGAAAGGAGCCAGTTGAGGTGGTTTGGGCATCTGGTGAGGATGCCCCCTGGGCGCCTCCCTAGGGAGGTGTTCCAGGCACGGGCAGCTGGGAAGAGGCCCCGGGGAAGACCCAGGACTAGGTGGAGAGATTTTATCTCTGCACTGGCCTGGGAACGCCTTGGGATCCCCCAGTCAGAGCTGGTAGATGTGGCCCGGGAAAGGGAAGTTTGGGGTCCCCTGCTGGAGCTGTTGCCCCCACAACCCGACCCCAGATAAGCGGTTGAAGATGGATGGAAACATAAAAATATTATGTACAAAACTAGGCCTTGCTGAATATCGGTTTGCTATACTATTTTGATTATTGGATTCCAGAAACCCATGAATCCAGATGATGTATATTAAATACAATGAAGAGCTTCTTGGACAGTGGACAGGCAATGCTCATTTTGTCTCTGAATATCACAGTACACCTTATTTATTCCTCTTCTTATTCTTACTTATTCTTTAAGGTAAAACAGCAATATAGCCCTCACTTATCAGAGACCGAAAATCGTTTCTATTAAGCAGGATAAAAAACTGGGGAAAGGATGACGGCCTTGAAAGCCACATCTTGAACCTCATACACAGATACTGAATTGGTAAGGGCCCCTGCGCAGTACTGAGTTGTTATGGATGGGGGTGGGGGGTGTCCAAATTCAATTTTCATACCTTTAATAATGATAATTCTGCAAATTATTATTATAAATTATAATTAACAGGGCAAATGTGATGGGCTGAACAGAGACACACAGCGCACTCTGTTGCAAGTAATCAAAACACTTGATTTCAAACTACTGGCCTGCTCTTCCCGCCTCATACTGCATATGCTTTCATTTCAATTGAACAGCAAAATTCCGATTTCAAAACCAAACTTCTGTCGGTGGCACCATCAAATGTTAGTTACTTGGTGGAATGATTGGTAGTTATGTTGCTAAACATTAGGTCATTTAAATAAATAACTACCATTTAAATCTGACGAGCAAACCTGTAAACATAATTAAGTAAAACACATTAAATTCATATGTTGGGACATAAAGCTCACGCTTAAATAACGACTAGTTTACCTTTTCGCACAGCAGTCTTAGGGCCGCGTTAACGTGTTTCCAGTTAGTCTCCGCCCTCCTCCGACTGTGTGTAGTTGACCCAAAACTTGCATGATACGACTCGACTGTGAGTTTTGACTGCTTATCTACCACAGTTTGAACACTATTCAGCATCTCCCGAGGCCGACGTTCAAAGAGGTACGGATCTGCTTGAGATGCGTGTAGCTTCTTTGTTTTGCACGGAGGGAAGTGTGGGGAAATGGTTGAAATACTGTGGCTCGGCTGGTCGCGATTAGAACCCTTCCCGCTATTTTGTGGCTAACTCACTAGCTCGCGCTAGCTGTTGTTGATTACTTAGCTTCGTCGGGAGCGGCCGGCTAACATCGAGCTAGCTAGTCGCCTGAAACACACTCGCGGAGGGAACTTCCGCTACGGCTAAGCTAACGCTGGCTAACACCGCTAACGCCGCTTCTCGGGGGACTTCCTATTTAATCTAAAACAAACAAACAAACAAAACACCAGTCGGGCGTGAGGAGGAGAAAAAAGCAGCAAACTCTAAAGTCAACGCCGGAGCGTTGTTAGCCTGCGCGCTAGCAGGTAAAGCGGGCAGCGGGCTGCCGTGGCACCGAGCGCCGGATCCAGCCTCAAAACACACAGTGCGTTACACACCCAGAGACGATTCAACGAAACGCGTCTTTTAGTCCCGGCTGGTCCGGCTAGCCGCAGCTCCTAATTTAGCTGAGCGTTTGCTCCCGTGTCTTTTTCGCGACATCGCAGGCTGGAGTTGTTTTTATTTATTTTTCTCTCCACGGAAGCTCGTGTCGCATTCATCGCGGCTGCTCTCGGAAGTCTCGCACTCTGTAAACCTTAGCCAGGATTTCCGGCTCCTTTCCATTTGCCCTATGCTGTTTTGTTTCCGTTTATTCTATTTCCGTTCTAAAAGTTTTCTACGCGCAGATTTAAAGTGATTTTTTCTGCGAAACGTGAACTGAAGTGACGAGGCGCGATGCGTTGCCGGCATGTTTCACGGGGGCTTGTTGCTCCGGGATCGACCGTTGTGTGTCGGGCTGCCTCGCCGCCCCGCGGGGGCTTTTTCTCTGCGAAAACGGCAGCCAACTTGCTGCGGCGCCGAGCACGTCCAGTGCGCCGACACGCGTGGCCCGATGGACACATTTCGCTTGCACTTGTTCCCACGACTCGTGTTCACGGTTCCAGGATGCGTTTTGTTTACTCGCTTTGGAGACTTTGGCCTAGCAGTTGGCCTCAGCGTGCCAAAGCCTCGCCCTCGAGTAGGCGAACGTCAGCAGCGGGCTCCGCCGGACAGGAGTCGAGGCTGGGAGGCCTCGATAGTACAAAACACCCCAATTGCAGTTCCCCCCTTTTACGTCATCGACCATTAAACCCACATTTACACACAGGAGATGAAATGGTCTCTTATTAGTTGGGACATCGATGTTTTCCACTTTTTATCCGGGGGTATCTAAGTGGTTTATGCTAGTAAACTTTCCAACTACAGGATAGTTGTTTTCTCCAGCAGTGAGCGATTTATCTGTCATTTAACCACCGTACGGTGTTATGGACGTTTTAAACTCCAATCGTTATGGTGTTATGAAAAGAAAAACCCACATTCATTAACTCATTTTGTGTTATTGAATACTTACTGAGATTGGAGGACGTCACCTTTGGCCTCTAAAAAAACTAGTTACAAACAACTTAATTCCCTCCAACACAATACATATGCCAACAAAATGAGTGTATTACCACCGTTATAACAAAATACGGCTTTAATTCACACCATGTATTGGTCATAGTCAGTTAATCAGTGTTTTGAAGACCTTCAAATGGATTTGGTTGAAGAAGAGGATGAGAATTACAGTTGGGATAAAAATATTTTTCATTACTTTCCCACAGCTTGGCTCTCTGTATAAAGCAGAATGTCTAAAAGTGAACAAGAGGAGATGATAGAGATCGAGATCGATGAACGGGAGAAACAGGCATGTCTGGAGGAAGGGTAAGCTACGTAACATTGAAACCGCCTTTTTAACCGCACTTGCAAATAATTCACATTTACAGCAATTTGTCTTCATTTCCAAATAGTGTCGAGGAGCAGACCATCACTGCATCAGACTTGATTCAACAAGATATCGACATAAATGAGCCCATTGGCAATTTAAAGAAGCTTTTGGAGCCCCGTATCCAAATTTCACTGGACGCATACGACATTTGCTTGCAGGACATTCAGGTTACAATGTGTACATAAATCAAAGATTTATATTTGGTTCAATAATTACAAGTGCGTAATGTCGGCCATATGGAACTTTAGAGTGCAGAGTTGCGTCTCTTTTGAGCTCTGAATCAACGCTGTTGTTTTCTTCCCTGTAGCTTCACCCCGACCACAGCCTCTTCGACCAGGGAGTAAAGACAGATGGCACCGTGCAGCTCAGCCTGCAGATAATAACCAAACAAGGTAATGACAGGATGCTTCACATGTTTATATATAGTTTTATATTTGGTGTTGTCCAAACTCAAAGTGCCATGTCCCCCCCCCCCTCATCCAGGTGAGGAGAAGTTGAACATCTTGGAAATCGTGAAGCCGGTGGAAACGGTAGAGGTGGTGATCGATCCAGATGCGGCGGGAGAGGAGGGAACTATGGTGGAGGAGGGCCAACTCATTGCCGTGGAGCGATCGGGCCTCTCGGACGAGACGTCGGAGCAGGTTACCCGCTGGGCCGCGGCACTTGAAGGCTACCGCAAAGAGCAGGTTCGCCTGGGCATACCGTACGGTGAGGAAAACTAAACATAAGATGCATTTCTGTCTGAAACCCACCTTTTAATACGGTAACAAGTCAATGGGATTGTGTGTCATGTCTCTCTCACAGATCCTGTGCTCTGGTCAGCTGACCAGGTGATCCACTGGGCTGTGTGGGTCATGAAAGAGTTCAACATCGACGAGATGGAAATCGGTAGCATTCACATCCCAGGTCGGGATCTGTGCTCATTCAGCCAGGACGAGTTTCTTCAGAAGGTGCCCAACGGAGAGATTCTCTGGAGTCACCTGGAACTTCTGCGCAAATGTGAGTCGTCATGAGTCAAAACAAAGGCCAGAGCTGCATCTCCTCTCTATTATGGCCCGATGAATTGGTCCTAACCTTTTTGTATTCATTTCAGACGTGTTGGCGAGCCAGGACCAGTCTGGAGGGGACGCTACCGTCACCATTGATCAACGTAAGCATTTGATTGAAAAATGTAGACCCTGTTGGTTCAGGACTACATTTGGCCAGTCATGAGCTGCTTACGTTATTTCATCTGATGAAACGCACAGAACACTGTTACCAGCCTACAGGAGCGTGAATAAGCGCAAAGCTCGACATCGAAGACATCGATGATCTTTGATGTTCTTTAACGTCTCTCCTCTGTGTCTCCAGCTGTGCATATAATCCCAGCTCAAGTGAGCACGCCCACTGTCGTCAAGGTGTTGAAGCACAGCCGCGGCCCCAGAACTCCCCGTATATCTGGTGGAGAAGAGCGCAGCTCGCCCGGTAACCGCACAGGTAGTCCTCCCTCAGCAACTCCTTCGACGGTCACTTAAGTGTTTTATGTCACTTATCTGCCAGAAGCATCTAAAATGTGAAATATATTTCTTTGTGTTGGGTGATTATAAAATAGTCATCCTGAACAAATGAATAGGTTCATTGATATCTATAACTGATGCGAATGCATCTATATTTTGAAGTTTCCTCACACTAAATGCTGTGTTTCTCTGGTGCCAGGCAACAACGGCCAGATCCAGCTGTGGCAGTTCCTGCTGGAGCTGCTGACGGACAAGGATGCAAGAGACTGCATCTCCTGGGTGGGCGAGGAGGGCGAGTTCAAACTCAACCAGCCGGAGCTTGTGGCCCAGAAATGGGGTCAGCGCAAGAACAAGCCCACCATGAACTACGAGAAACTCAGCAGAGCCCTCAGGTTGGTTTCTGTCATTAAGAAAATAAATAATAATACCGTTGGAGTTTATTTGGGAGTCATGCAGCGAGATTCTGACTTTCACATTCTCATTTAGGTACTACTACGACGGGGACATGATCAGCAAGGTGCAGGGCAAGCGCTTTGTTTACAAGTTTGTGTGCGACCTGAGAACTCTGATTGGCTACAGCGCCGCCGAGCTCAACAACCTGGTGACCGACTGTGAACAGAAGAAGCTGGCGCGCATGCAGATGCACGGCATCGGACAGCCCATCACCACAGTGACGCTGGCCACCACGCTAGAAAAAGAAAGTTAAAGGAGGTCGCGTCGAAGAGCCCTCAGGCTGCCAAAGTTTGCTTTTCACCACTGACTGGAAAAACAAAACAACTCTGCTTTTCTTTTTTTTGGACGCGCCTGTGTCCACCAGGATCCCCGATCAGCGCGGATTATCAACTATCATTCTCTTCTTAAGTCTGGAAGTTTTACAGAGGCAGTTTTTTTCTTTTTCTCTAACTATAACGAATGTGGCGGGCGAATGTGAGAAATGTTTTGCATCTGACTGAATGGGTGAATGTGTGAGTGAAACATTGTAGTTTAGGATAATTTCCACTGTATATACCGGCGTTTCATGTTTTTGATAGCCACCAGGACAAGTGTATTTTCATACTTTCCATTAATAAAGACCTGTTTTGTATTTTATTTAGTGTTTGTTCCCCAAATGGTTGGACCCTTTTTTGTCCACTAGAGGGAATAAAGTGGCAAGCTTTTTTTTTATGTCTGTGACTCTGTCTTTTCATCTGAACATTGTAATCCCTTTATAATCTCAATTATAGGAGATTCAAAATGACGAGCAGTACAAGATTTACGTACATTCAAAATTTTATTCATGGTATACAGAGTGTAGAAAGCTGTCTTACTCTAAGCAAATGATTCATTTAACTACACGCCAAGGAAGGTCTGAATCAATGGGGGGGTTAATGTAAGCATCCAAAGACACCCAGATTGAAGATTGATACAAATTTTAAACATTCACCTGATTAAGAGCTTAAGTTAATATCTGTACACATGTGAGTGATGTGCAGAGAGGTGATATGTGTTTCTGTGGTATAAAAGTACAATAAGCATGTCACATTCATGTACTGGAGGTGGTGTCGATAACATAATCGAGGGAGAGAAATGTCTGACCAGAGTTGTGCTCATCCTCCATGTGGATCACGATTCTTCACCTCTACTGGAGGACTTAAAATACTTTATGATATGGGGGCAAAGAAATCCACCACTCGACAAACCGAATGTACATGTATACACGGGAAATGTAGAAAAATAGACTGCGTAAGCAATATTTGATGATGGAATGTATTCAAGAGGACAAAACGTTGGATCTCTGAACGCCCGACATGACATGTCATGTCAAGCATTCACTGTACAAAATAGATGACACTGCCAGAAAGAGGGTAAACAGACAAATGAGGGCTGGAGAGCAAGAATGGAAAAGGACGAGAACAAGACGGAAAGAGAGGCTGATTTTCCTAATTAAAGTGGGCCGTTGAGAGCCGGATCTCCCATCTTGCAAATGTTAACAATTAAGAGAATGGAATGATGAATCTGGAATGATACGCTTTCAGAAAACCTCCATCCTAAAGTTTGACCTCCCCGTTGTGCAGCAACAGCGTGAATTGTCATCGAGGACATAAACGGCAATAAAATTGGTGATCACACTTAAATGAAAAGAGTGCATAGAACGCAAACAATAGTCCTCCTTTTGGATACCGTTACACTTCATATATCACATATAGAGCATTGAGCCCATGCAGCTGACACAACAGCGAAGCATGGGGGTGAGCGCAACAAGCCACGGTTCAGTTAAAGCAAGTCTGTGGGACGACAAAGCAGACCAGGTTCTGAATACGGGTTTTCTCCTTCATATCACAAGATCACAAAGAAGACACAAGGGAAATGTACAATCTTGCTAAAATATCTAATAAGAGGAACGCTCCGTTGAACCGTAACTTACTGAATCTGTCAATCAATATTGCCATGCACTACATATACTTACAGCTAATCTCAGTCTTAATATATTACACATACAAAATAAAAATAGATCAGAAAACAAAAACATTCCATATGCTTGAACTTTTACACACTTTGACAATGTTTAGTTTTTCCTGCGTATTTTAAAACAAACCTGAAACAGTTGGGCTCCAATTGTGCAAAGGGCCTGAGAGAGCCTCTTTGTGTGTGTTCGTGTACGTGGGAGAGCGAGAGAGAGAAGAGGAGGGCGGGGGCGGAAATTTAACTGCCTGGATTTATATGTTGATGGTTTCAGTTGCGTAACTTCATACCAATGATCAACAGGTCATTTTTTTCCAGTACAAACACTTTGTTAAGATTGCATAAGTTTTGGTTGCGATTGGCAGAAATGTGCAGGTGGAACAGGTACCCTTGTCAAATCAACTGCAGGTTAATACACGCTCATGTGGGGCTCTGTGCCATCTGGGAATTTAATGCTCCATTTACCTTTTTTGGCACGAAAACGGATACAAAGATTTCACTTTATCTTTTTTGTCAAAAAAGAATAACGATTTTACGGCACGCTTCACACCTTTCCTTTGCCCTTAAAGCAGGAGAGAAGATGAGGGTGCAGGGGCTGAGAGCAAGGACCAGAACGGAGCCTACGAGGGGAGAGTGTGGAGGGAAAATGTGGACCAGCAGCTCTTTAGTTCTGCATCTGCTCGAAGAATTTGTAGGTGGGATTCTCGTAGCCATTCTGCTGCATCTTAGCCAGGTGACGCTCCTCTGGTGTCACGGCTGCGTCCACCTACCAAAATAAAAGTGGATTGGTAATGTGTTTTTTGTCCCCCACTTAACATTGACAAACAAATTACTCGCTTTGCTCCAGTCCCCTCAAAACCTATTCATCAAGGCCCTTTCTTTACCTCAATTACTCCGTGATGAATAGAAGTATACTGTTTCTTCCTCAGCATCACCAAAGTAATGACAATGATAGTTGCTATGACAACCCCGCCGACCATAAGTCCGATAATGGCACCTTTGTTGGAACCCACATCCTCAGCAAAAAATACCTGCCATTGAGAATGAAGACTAAACTGTTAATGTGCACAAAGCAGAGACACCAACTCAGGACTAAAAAACATCACAAAATGTGTTTTCGTACCAGTTTTTGATGGTAAACCTCATAACCAGCACTTTGCCTCTCTTCACTCTCCATCCGCACTTCTGCCTTCGCCGCAGACACTGAAATAAAACACACAACAAAAACAAAAACAATCAGTTGAGTAACACTGAATGTCAACATTTCTTTTGTTTCCACGAGGCAACGAAGACATCTCAACGGATTTTCTGTTAACGGGACACGAGGTACTTGATCGCACACTCACCTGGTCGTGTGGGGTGTCCTCTGTCTGGATTTGGACGAGCGTCAACGGGCTCGACTGCAGGGGGGGGGGGGGGGTAAATATGGAAAAGTCAAATTGACATCCACATGGGACGAAAAAATTTGTTTGAATACCATAAAACGAGAGTTGTTTTGTGCGTCACCATGGTTCTCTGTGTTGGGCTGGTTGAAGCTCTCGGGGTGGATGAATCCCAGTCGGTCCAGGCCGGGGTCCATCGGAGCAGAGCTGTAGGTCTGATCAGGCATCAGAGCGTCGTTACCGTAGCTCACCCTGCTGTTCACCTGCAACACACACAGCACCATTCTGATAACGCCATCTAATCCAGATGACTGCTCAAAGAGGTGCGAAGTCTGACAATGCCCACGAATGTACCTGTGTGTGTGTGTCTTGTCTGTCCCCCCCCCTAAATATGCATTTACTCTGTGCACCCATCAGCATGCTCATCTGCATTTCTGCTCAAGGAGCCTTTGTGGTCGGAGAGATTACACATTTTAGAAAAAAACTATTTCAGCTTTTGTTCGAGCAAGCGCTCAACAACTGCTTCAATGGAAAAACGCGTCTCCTGTGATTAGGGCTTTTCATTTAGCCCATCCAATCGGTTGCTGGCCACGTTTTTGGCATTTATAAAGAAATGCAGACATCAGGGAAAGGTGCAACTCGACTCACCCGCCTGTCACTCTGCAGTGAGGAGACTTGCTGAGACAGCTCCGTCTGAACTCTCTGCATTATAACAGCTGGCGAGGAAAAGGGAAAAAGAGAGCGTGAGCGAAGGTAGATGCAGCATGAAGATGATGGGAGGGACGGAGGGAGGGACGGCGTGTCCTGATTACTGAAGAGACGAACAGTTATCAGCATGCCGTCCATCACATGACTTCAGACATGCTGTTAAACAGATTCACCCTCAGTCAGCACTACGGAGAGGTTGTGAGGGACGATTTAATTAGGACTGCATGTAAGGTCTTAATTAGACAGTATTCCAATATGAGCTCATCTCTCCTCAAAAGTAACAAATTACAACATGACGGATGCTAAAAGACATGTTTAACATACTAACTCAGGCTGCTACTTACCATTGATTATTTTCACACAGATCTCTTTCCTAACTGATCAACTAATTATTCAGACTATAAATCTAAAAATCACTATTACAACTTCACAGAGACAAAGGCAACATTTTCAAATGTCTGACTAGCGTTCCTAAAACTATGTTTATATTTTCCCACCATTATCATAACGGACAGAGAAAGCTGAAACAATTTATGCATAAACTTAATTGCTGTAGATACATTTTTTCTTGACAAACTAATCAATTAATGAAATGTTTTTGAAAAGTCTTTCAACTCTTTCAAAACGGTTAATCTCTTTATATTGATGATATCGTACAAACAGACACTTACAGACTTGGCTTTGGATCTCATTCGCCACTTTGGGCACTTTGTAGAGCAGATCAACGGACTGATTCATCCTCTCATCAATCACACGTAGGTGGGTCAAAACCTAAAAAGAAAGTCAACAAGTTACGGTATCGTTTCATTTTAGGCCGGAGTGACAATTCACAAATATCAGCATTTTAACGGATTAAAATGTTTGAAACCACTAAAAGCTTTTTCGACTGTACGCAGGTCGGGTCGAGTACCTGAGGTCGGATCTGTGCGGCCTTCTTGGGATCTACGGTGCGCACGTGTTCATAATGTTTCAGCGTGTGCTGCCGATCCTTCTGCTCAGCACGGACGTACTTCTTCAGCAGACTCAACACCTGACGAGGCTGGATACCACGTCATCAAAACAGATATTTAGTGATGGGAAGTCCAGATATGGACATGGTTGTGTATGTGTGTGTGTGTGTGTACCCGTGGCGGATCGGCCTGCAGGGAGCCGAGGTACGTTTCTAGAGCCAGGCGTCGGCGGCTGTTGAGCAGAGCTTCCACCCGGGCCATGTGGGTTTCCACCAGCTGCTGCCGCTCTCCTGCAGCCTCCCGCTCCAGAGCCTCCACCTTCTCCTGGAAGTGCTGCAAATACAGTGCCATGCACCCGGAAAGGTGTTGGGAAATATATATATTTACCATAATGGAAGGCGGAGGAAACTACTACGTTGCTGAAATAATTTTGATACTTCTACGATAATGGATGCATGCAAGAAAATGTAGACAAAGAAAATGAGAGCATTGAAAAATGCTTTTCAATTCAACAAATAAGGGTTACAAAAATCTTTGCATTCAAATCAATTAAAAAACAGAGCAAAATATATTCATCTATAAATCCAAAATACTGGTGGACTTTCATTAATTTTGTCCTAGATAATGGAACTAATGTATTGTCGCAACAATCGCCTTAGGAATAAACAAATGGTAATGAAAT